TTGGAAGGGGAGGGTCAGGGGTGGGGGAGGCAAAAGCAGGGGCAGCCTCAGGGCCGGGGGAAGGGCCTGGGGTGCGCCCCTTCCCTGGCTGTAGGGGGGGAGAAGAGCCTTGGCCTGGCCCAACCCACCACACACTCCAGCAGCCAGGGACGGAGAGAGCCAAGTCTGGCCCAGCTTTCGGAGGGGCCTGATGACTGGAAGGGGAAGAGAGCCAGGGCAGGCCAGGGAGCGGTGTAGGGGCTGCCTATCCCCAGCGGGGATTGGCGAGCATATCAAGCACACCTAGTATTATTATAGAAATAAAATACTCATTCGGTTTCAGCCAAGTTATTTGTCAGATAACAGTAAATAAAATCTAAAAATTAAGACATTCTTAGGTAAGGTTTTGTTTCGGCTTATTGTAGTCCTGAACTTTTACTGCTGGTATTTTCAGATGTCACCTGGTAGTGATGCTCAGACCATAACCAGGGCTCTCTTCCACTCTTTGGGAAAAATTACTTTTAGCCAGATTATCATAAACATTCAGGGCTTGTCTAGACTACTGAAGTTTTGAAAGAGGATATGCAAATTCTGCAGGAATTCTTCCAATCTCACTTTCAAAAGCAGAGTTTCAAAAGTGAAAGTAGTCTGGATGCGTTTTTTTCTGCAATCCCCCTTTTTTGAAAAAATGTGCAAACCTCATTATTTGAGGAAAAGCAGCTTTTCAAAAAGGTGGGGGGGGAGGTTGCTGAAAAAAACATGTCCAAACTACTTTCATTTTCTAAAGCTCCACTTTCTAAAGTGAGATTGGAAGAAGATATGCAAATTCCCGCAGAATTTGCATATCCTCTTTCGAAACTTCAGTGTAGTCTAGACATAGCCTCAGCACCCAGCAGTTCACACTCAGAACAAAGGAGAATTTCCTTTGCTGCCCTTCTAAAAATGATGGTGGTCACCGAACGCAGACAGTAGTCAGACACAACTACTTAGGTGAGAGGTCGTAGCTTAACACTACTTCATTTCTCATAATCCAGAATCTTACCCCAAGAACCCATCGTAGAGGAGAGATGACCCCTAAGGCAGCAGGCACAACTCACCACCAGGACTGTCCCTAGAAGAGTGCAGGGCCCAGGATAATCCCCAGCTCTGCCCCAATCACGACCCTCCTCAACCGCTTTCCCCTCCACCCTGCTTTGCCCCCATTCCACCCCCCGAGTGACACCAAGAGTTAGGCAGTTGGAGCAAAGTGAGGCTGGTTTCACTGCCACCAGTCCCTGCATTGCAAAGGCCCCATGGCAACGTGAAGTGTGGGAGGGAACCCCCAATGCACAAGGCCTGGGGTGACTAACCTGAATAGTCCAATGGATGGGATGGCTCTGCTCACCCCACCCTACTCCAATGGCTGGTCTGTAGGGACTGTTAGGGTACGTCTAAGCAACATGGCTCAGTTGACAGAGCCAAATAGTCTAGACGTGCCCTTAGTGCACAGCAGGCTGGAGGTAAAAGTACTTCTCACCAGCTTTCTATGCACAGTGCCGTGCACTGACACGTCCCTAGTGTGTGCTTTGCTCTGTTCTGCTTTCAAAGCAGAGGAGACTGAAGCTCACTGTGGAATTGTTAGTGCCCACGGCAGGGTCCACACAGCCAGGGTGTGTCTACACCACAGAGTTCTGTTGGAAAAATGGCCGTTTTTCTGACAAAACTTGAGCAATGTCCACACCGCAATTGCGTTCTTCTGCAAGAAAATTGAAAGAACAGGGTGGGTTTTTTGCAGTACTGTATTGGCAATCCTCATTCTGTGAGGAAGAAGCCTTTTTGTGAAAGTGCTCTTTGGGAAAAAGGTGCATGTGGACGGGGAAGAGGGAGTTCTTTCAGAAGAAGAGGAAAGAGGAAAAAGCACGGTGGCCACTCCATCCTTAGCAATCGCAGCTGAAAAGCGAGAGAGCATCCATTCAGTGTGAATGCTCTCTGTTAAAAAAGCAGATCACTTTTTGATGTACTCTGGCAGTGTGGACACTCGCTTTGCAAGAACTTTTTTCAAAAGATCTCGTCCAGAAAAGCTTCTTTCAAAAGAAGCCTGCAGTGTAGACACAGCCCTAGTGTGCCTGGCAGGCTAATGAGAGGCAGATTTACACCCCAGCTTGCCACCAATTAGCTGTTCCTGTGCACAAGGCCTGATGCTGCTCACTTTGCAGCAGAGTCCTCCGGAAACCCCACATCCCCACTCTTAAGCCGACAGTGACAGCTTGCAACCACACCACTGGCCTCACTGCAGCAAAGGTGAATCTACTCCACACCCTGAGAAGAACGATGAGGGCTGAGTGGAGCTGAGCTGTTATGAAAACGTGGCCTATGGAGTCCCTGCTTGGAAGGTGCTAAACACTCTCAGCCCCTATTGGAGTCAAAGAGACTGAAGGTTGCTCAGGACTTTCCAAGAAGTATTCAGCACATTGCAGGCTCAGGCTAACAATGAGGCCCAATGATAAATTCTCTCTGCCCACGTCAGCAGCGTCTTATCCACATGCAGCACGGCCGGGCACTGACCTGCTATGGAAATTGTTGATTCCCTCTCCTGGTCGAGTCGGGGGTTCCAGACATGGCAGGACACCTTCTGGTTGGACTCTTCTCTTAGAACAATGGCAATCTCTATCTGAAACAGGTCACTGGCCTCGGGGGATATTTTTTCAGAGTCTGATGGTAAGTGCTGCCCCTGGAGATCTCTCCACAGGGCTTCAGGCTGTGGGTACCATCCAGATGATTGACACACCACCCGGACCCCTCCATCCTGGTGTCCCTCCACAAAGACGTCAGGAGCAGAGCCGAAAGCTACAGAAGAAATACATGAATTTATGACAATTCTACAGTGCCCAGTAACAACCTCGGCTGTGTCCTTCCAGAGCGCCGGAATGAATAGTCAATACACATCAGGCCAGTGAGGGGTTGCCAGAGGGTGTAGGGGAAAAGGGAATGGATCGATAGGCCTGCAACAGGTGAGGGAAATTTGCCTGGAACTGAAGTGGGAGTTCCAGGGGTGATAAGCCAAGCTCAGTGTGTAGCTCAGGCTATGTGACCAATTTAAGGTGTGGCCCACCAGTAAGCTGCAGCCTGTGGTGTGTGCCCCAGAACTGTGGGGCAGAGAAGAGCTACGAGTTGTGGGGAACTGTGATGCAGGTGGAGAAGGAGACAGACACACCAGTCTCCTCTCACATCCTTAAAGTAGTCGCAATATAATAAACCTTAGAAGCTGCTGGGACAGAGACCAGGATGAGATTTCTCTCACCAGCCTATAACCAGCTGCACACTTAGCCCCACCGCACTATCACAGAGTGACAGGGGGAGGATCACTGAGCAACCACGGGGCAACCAAGCAAAGTGTTCTCAGGCCTGAGGTCTATTCCTGGCTCTGCCACTGACAAGATGGTTGATCTTGGACAACACACTTCTATGCTGTGTGCCTCAGTTTCTCATCTGTAAAATGGGGAGAATGAGGTAAAGTTCTTTTAGATCTACTAATGGAAAAGCAGTAATACATAGGTAAGGACTTTAAATATCTAGACACAGTTGTGTAGCAAATGCAAACTCAGGTGAGAATTGCAATTGCCTGAATGGCCACTAACACCTTCAATAGTTTCCCTTTCTTTTTTACAAAAATAAATAAATGAATAAATTAAATAATTCAGGACAGTGGTCTCCAACCTTTTTAAACACAAGATCACTTTTTTTCAATTTAAGTGCAATGTAAGATCTACCTCAAACCCAAACACCCTTGCCCAGGTATGCTGTCTACCAACAGCGGGCAAAGTCCCTCCCCTGTCACCCACCTACAGACAAACAGAGGCTAGGGACACCCTCCCTACCCATCCTGGCTAATAGCCATTGATGGACCTAACCTCCATGAATCTTTCTAGCTCTTTTTTGAACCCTGTTGAAGTCCTGATTTTTACAACATCTTTGGGCAAGGAGTTCCACAGGTTGACTGTGCACTGAGTGAAGAAAAACTTCCTTTGGTTTATTTTAAACCTGCTGCCTATTCATTTCATTTGGTGACCCCTAGTTCTTAAAAAAATTGTCTGGTAGCACTTTATAAACTAACAAAGCATGTAGATGGTATCATGAGCTTTCGAGGGCACAGCCCACTTCTTCAGATGACCGGAGTGTCGGAAGTCCAGAACCCAGAATAAATAAGGGAAGGAGGGAGTGGGGGAAGGAAAAAAATTGGAGGGGCGGGGGAGAGGACATTGAGTAGATAAGTTTCAAAGGGATAGCCAAGCCAGTCTGTAACAGGAAAATTAATTGTACTGTAGTGTCAAGGAAGTGGATTTCTTGGG